ACAGCTATATTAGTAGGATAGTTGCAGCATGAACGAGTCGGCTCGACCGGGGAAGGACCACGTTCTCACATAATACCAGCGTAAAATAGCAGCTAAACGCTGCTGTGTTTCGTGTGGTGAGTGTAGAGAACCGGAGACCGGTTTTACTGGAAACTAGGCTTTTACTTCTTATTAAAAGTTTAATTTTTTGATACTTTTGTGTGGAAAAATATTGCAATATCGTCTAAATAGTTACTTTAAAAACTTCATCCCATTTATCATATTTTTCACTCTTAGGGTAGGAATTTGTTCTCCACTTTTTATGCACATTTGAAGTATAAACTATTCAACTATAGAAAGCCATTAAAATCGGTTTACATTTGCCAAAGACAATAAACATAGTCTTTATGCATTGAGAACCTCTTCCTTTTTAAGTCAGCGACAAATTAAACATTGACAGTTATATGATGCATACTAAAACAATATATTTGTTGTTTAGGTAGAGCCGTGGCTCAGGGGGATAAGCGGTCACCATTACATTAGAGATCCTTCGCAGTACGCGAGCAAACCGAGTTCGATTCCCGCTGGAACCAATGAAATTGGTGTATGAAGTGACATCGTGAACAAACATGCCTCTCTAAGAAATAAAAAAATATTTTGAGAACATGTGCGGTCCGCTAAGTGGGACGTTTAAAGGCTTTGCTTTACTTTATGTGTTTTAATAGTTTTATACAAGTTCCAATGCTATTCCAATTATTTACTACAGCTTTCATAACCCTAAAATTTTCTGTATATTCTTAAAACAAATTCATTACACCTAAACAGGTTTGTCGTTTCTTACACACGGCAAAAGTTTTGAGTTGGAGGTAGTATCGTATTTACCTAGTTCCACATTTATTTTACATATGTTTCTTCCGTAGTTCTGTATATTGAATGATTCATTGCAAAGACACTAAAAATCTACTATGTATGCGAAGTGAGTCAATATACGTTTTGAGTCACAGTTGTTTCCATGAATGATATGTAGTTATGTCGGTACATGTACTTGTACAACATAAATATATGAGATATACAGCCGTATATTCATAACAAATTTTTGGACAGGAATATTTTAGAAGCATTTCAATAAAACTAATTTTACGGATTTTATCGCGTATATTAACTTATTTTATATTCCCATAGCTGATGTGAAGAATCAACGCACCGGGAAGTCTGCAGTCTATGAACACGTACAGGATCGCCCCTGTCACTACATTAGATTTGATTGATCACAAATCCTCGCTAAAGAACACCGATTCCTTCCAATGATGATTCGCGAGGCTATTGAAATCAAAAAACATTCTAATTTCAATAGTGAAGATGGCTGGGTGCTACCATCTGCTTGGGATCCCATAATTAATAAAATTAAATCACAACCCAAGCACACAACTGCAAGACTTCAAGATACTGTAAGTTCATACTGCGTAGATCGGAACAAAAATTTATAATTTTTAGCCGTGGTTAACTATGACATTGGGACATCGTACACCTCAGCCCCCCCCCCCCCCATGAAAATGATGCGGTAAAGTAGGTAGTACTACTCGAAACGTCGGTAATATAAAATAAGTTAATACACGCGATAAAATCCGTAAAATTAGTTTTATTTAAATGTGTAGTGTTCGAGTAAATATAAGAAATCATTATTTTAGAAGCATTTGATTAATTTTTTTATTTTATTAATAGCAAAGAGTACATCTTAATGTTATTGTCAAATAACATATTAAAAACATTTGAATTATATGTTCTATAAATAAATAAATGCGATTGACGTATATATGTGAGGACATAATATGTGGTGCCACTCAGTTGCTTTAACAATAAAATAAATCGTAAAAAAACGGCCTAGATATTTTATCAGTCACGCTGCTTTTATGAAACTTGATAATAGCTAGTTTCATATCCTATTTAATCTTCCTTAATCATCATCGAACCTAGGTTGCTAACTCTTATACAGACCTTACTTATTTACTTCTTCTTAGATTCTTTGAGAGAGTACTTTTTTCCTACGTAGAATTCTATCTAGCACCATCTTCGCGCCCATTTCTGACTCCTAGCAAAAACATCATGTCGTGCATGCAAGCTACCGCAGTATAATTGCAAAATACAGGCTATGAGATAATTCTATATGCGTTCTAAGAGGAGAATATGCTCTTTCCTTACTGCTTTTTTGTTTGGGGTCGGTTAAAAATACCACACTTTTATAGGCGTATAGAATTTTTTTGAAATATCTGCGTTAATAGTTTGTTGGTTGCTTCCGTGAATGGAGCATTCTTAAACGGCTTTTAAAGCAAAAAGGGAAGGTTTTTTTTACTTTAGAACCAAAAAATTGTAGGAAAGGTTTTGTTTTCGTGGTAATGGGAACAAAATTAATAGTTTTTGATTTTCAATAAAACCTACATATTGTAGTATTAATATTGATGAATTTTTATAAAGTTAGTAATTTTGTTATGGTTTAAGTAACCAATGTTTATTTATATTAAAACAAATTGTGATGTCTCTTTTTTATGTGATATCACGGCTATCAAAGTAATAAATGTTCTTAAATTATTATAATTCAACTTGACGTTATTTTTGATTAATTCACCAGAAATATCATTAATTAAATAGAATAGAATAGAATAGAATAGAATAGAATAGAATAGAATAGAATAGAATAGAATAGAATATTTTTTATTCAATATACATTACATGTGTAATTCTTATTGAAAGTCGTTTTTTACTTTACCACTGGTTCGAAAAAACCCTCTGTCCTGGGAAGAACCAGCAAGAAATCCAGCTAAATTCCGTGAAGCGCTTAATATGTCGTAGTTCTATCGTTATAATTGGGCAGCGTAATCTGCCCGACATTTCACGATACGCTACCATTTCATGATTTGGCTGATAATTAACCGCCATATCACTTTGCACCTAAATTATATTTATGCATATAAATAATATTTAAGTGTCTACCCAATTCTAACGATCGGAAAATTTTCTTTCTACAATAGCTTTAAATAACATCGTCAAAGTTCTTAGTTTTCTTTTAACAATTAAAATTTTAATGATAATTTAATTATTGACGAAACATAATATTTAAAAATATCAACTTTTCTATTATATAGTAATTTTTTCGGTAGAGTTGCGGTAGTGAATAATATGGTACGCAGAATTATTGACATTCTTAACTTGTTTTATATTTTTAGTTATAGCTGGTTTACATTAAGTAGCCGCTCAACATAATAAAATTCAGGTTATTTTGTTTGTAAATGATTTGAAAATGGAACTTAATAATATTGAGTAGGCGCCAGTAGCCTTGTATGTCGTGTTTCACCGACACCCATAAAGGTTGTCCTACACCTCAGCCTTATACGGTAGAGCTAAAGCAGCGTATCCAGTACCAACATTGCAATCATAATACCTGCAGCCCACACAACTACATAAATATAATATGCCGCCTGTTATTCATTGTCTTGAAATGGATTTGGATAAGAAATAATAGATGCATTCTATAAGTGTGTCCGTTCTGTACTTTGTTGTCTAGCGATCTTAACAATTTGTTATTAAATATGTGCATGTTTGCGTAGAAGTGCAGCTGATCAAGTAACGTCCAAAGACTGTACATAGTCTATGTTTGTATATACGTTTGCCATTACGTTTGTCAATAAAAAATGCTGTTCCAAGGTTCTATTTAAGTTTTATTTATCGTATGAATTTGTAATTTCATTGAAGAATATATGGATACATCATGCATGCATATGATTATATAACTCTAAAGTATTACAAATTATTATTTATTATTCTAACACAAACAGCACACACAGGGCTACGAATTTATTTTTCCATAGATATTATTTAGAATTGAAGCATGTTAAAAACAATTTTTATAATAGGCAGTGTAAACTCTCACGCATGTAGAGTCGTGAAGCCAGTGTTTTATGCGGATGTTAACTGGGTTACTAGTATTACATCGTTGCGCGTAACAGTAGTGTATTTGTTCTTAGTGTTTCTGATAAATTACAAATCATACTCAAATTAAAGCGATTCTTTCATATTACATGCATAAGTTATCATCGGTTATTCTTTACGCACTGATCGATAATCGAATTGCTTTCACTATGTAAGTACTTAAAATACGAAAAAACTTTTTTTTATAATAATTTAGGTATTACGAATTCCGTAAAGGATAAGCATTCGGAATTTAGCTTCATAGTAGTTCCAAGAACGTTGTACATTCCTATAAAGCCTATGAATAACCTCGAACGTCGTTTGTACCGAACTTGGCACGCTTTTTACTGGTCCGTTTGTTATTTTAAAAACATTAATGTAAAACATGGCCAAGTTCGGCCAAGTTGGGTAAAAAATTAATATCCCACCCAAAACATTGTTTTTGAAACATTATTTTTGGCGGGATATCGTAGTTAATAAAAAAATGTTTTATAAAAGGTGATATGTGGTAGTAGTTATTGGCGCGGTTAGTTTCAGATACAGTAATTAAAACTAACTAAACCGATAACTTTTTCTTTAACACACGTCAATATTAACAATTTGTCATCAAAGCCAAATTTCAATTGCAAGTTTGAAAGTGACTTGGAAGTGGCCTAGGTTTTTTATAAGTGAATAAATTAACCAATGAGTGATAAAAATAGCACTCGTAGACTTTAATACTAATATTAGATTTATTTTCTTGACATTTAAGATTTTGGGTATTCAAGTGGTTCTTATTGGGTATGCAAAACTACTAACTAAGTGTGTAAGACTAATAGCTTAATAAGCGCTTTTGAGTTATGGGGAGTCTCGAAACTGGCTTGAAATGGTTCGTGTAAATATATACACTGCTGGTGCACCGCCCTTTCTATTCCAAACATAGCTGACATACTGCCATGTGTCTAGATGCCAAAGAAAATAAATACAAATACAGACAAAGCTATACATTATATTTGTAACAAGCACTGAGATCATCAGCTGTCAAAGAGCAGTACAATCTAAAGTGTGTTATTTGTCACCTGAGCTAGTGCTGTCACCAGCAAAGCAGCGCCAACTAGATAACACAACGTCGACCACATGATTTTCAATTTAGCGTCCCACAGGATTATCACAATATTCACCACGGTTGGCGGTTATAGGCGATCGTTAGCGCGTCATGGCGGGCTGTCGTCGCGCGAGACGAAGCAACACTGGCAAGTGGCAACCGGCCTCAGCATCAGCACGCCGAGCTACGAGAACCGAACAACAATTTCAACTTTCCGCGGTCGGGCGCGTCCACAATTGCGTACACTCTTTAATGTATTTATTTCTGTATTTGTCTGCCCATTTTTATCTTGAATTAAATTAAAGACTCGTTTTGTTTTTGGTATTATTCTAGAAGATAATCTATATTTATGGATATAACAAGTAGGCAATATTATTGTATTAATTTCATTTTCATATAAGTTTAATTATTACACTGAATGTATTGAAAAATAATAAAATATGTTTGGTATCAATATAACAGTTATAGTAACAATAGAGGTGCAAGACATCAGGTACTGCGGTCGCTAATCTACCTGCCAAGCGAATGCAGATTATGGCAAAGCTTTCCTTTTTTTATAGAAGTAACAGTTCATCATCATCTGTTCGTCATCATTATCTGCTTAGACTCAAGCGACTAAAGGCGAGCTAATGCTAATTCGAAACAAAAATGTTTTTATTTATTAATCAATAATCATACCTACTCTCTGTACTAGGTATATCTATGATGACTTAAAATATTCATGTATTGTAGATAGTTTATCTGATTTGATCAATTTGGGACATCATTAATTTAATAAACATTGCTAAACTCGAGTGTGAACGAGTTTCGTTTCGTCTACGCAATGTTGCGTCGGCGGGCTGCATGGGCTGTCATTACGACACACACCCACACGCCTATCTCATGACTACACGCGCACACGTAACTGCCAGGTATGGCACCCGATGATCTTTCCGAATCTCCTCTACTTTTTTTCGCTCGTATTCGTACAAACTAGTCTGGACTATAAAAGTATTCCCTCGGTATGTATAAAGGTGGTATTCTCTTTTTCTTTGAAGCTTACACAACCTGTAATGCCGCATACCTATTCACAGAAAATAAATATCAATAAAATATTGAAATATTAAATTAAATAGTATAATAAAGAAAAATATACTATTTTAGTACAAAAACATTATTTGAACTTATCCTAAAAAGCGTTCTTTTCTGAAGATAATACAAAAGAATTCAACGCGCTTAAAAAAGTCACAGGTTAAAAGCTCGACATGAATCAATAATATCCTAAATTGCTGAATTCCTTTTTTTTATTTTAATGATTTCTGTATCCGAGGTATAAACTAAGGTCATCCGAATTTTAAACAATAATTGGTGAAAAGTAAATACTGAACAAGAACTTATCAGTTACTACTTTATCTTTTTTAATTTTATGTCATTATGCGGACACAATTGCTTTTAAAATATAACGTTGAATAATGAAGAAGTTCCTCTTGTTTATAATGCGTTTATCCTTAGGTTTGTAATGCTAAGAATAATAAGTTGCCTTAGTACTCAGAAGTGACCATGCACGTATAGTCTTCTTTTTGAAATGTAGTGCAGGTGTCTGTCTATAAGCTGCATTAAGCACTTGCTATCAGGTGAACTGTCTAGTGGACTTTATGGTCCAAGAGCTCATGACGCATTTTTCATGAAGTGTTTGATGCATCATGAAACTTTGTTCAAAAGTATCAATACTCTCAATAAGAAGGTATATGACTGTTTGACTGGCCTACTTGGGGTACACCTGGTACTGCGCATACAGGTTTTATTAGATGAAAATTTCAAGAAGTAGATAAAGATGAAGTTTACTCAAATGCACAACAATAATTACAGCATTTTTTACGTGGTAGAGCCATGCTGCAGCTATATTTCTATAATAGTTGTAACACGAATGGGTCGGCTCGACCGGGGAAGGACCACGCTCTCACAGAATACCAGCGTAAAATAGCAGCTTAATGCTGCTGGGTTTCGTATGGTGAGTGTAGATAACCGGAGACCCTTTTTACTGAAAACGAGACATTCCATCTTAGTCCTCACGGGTGACAACGCATCTGCATTTTGATTCGTAATCGAGGATAAATGTAGATGTCTATGGGCCACAGCAACCACTTACCATCAGGTGGACTGTGTGCTCGTTTGTCATCCTTATCCTATAAAAAAAGCTAATGGTAGTAAGGAAGCAATAGTAGGATTGATGAAAGTGAGAATTTTTTTATTATATGTAATAATTAACACGCTGTAAAAATGGCAGATTAAATCATACACTTTTTTTGGAATTTTTAAAAATATAATTTTGGGGAAGTTTGCCCCTATGTCAACCCCTTCAAAAGTGTCTGCTATTTCTTTTCTTAATTCTTTATCAACATAGCTGACGGATAGTCAGTCACTATTATTATTTGAATCAAATACTTTTTTCACATATCGGCGACCGTCGTCTTCTGTTGCACTCATAACAACCCGTAGCACATTTATCTCCTGTCCACGCAAGATTTATTTAAATACTAGCTGTTCCCCGCGACTTCGCCCGCATGTAATTTAGGTTTTTTTTTTGCGCGGAACCCTAATAATTTTTCTAAAATAAACGTAGTCTAAGTTACTCGTTATAACATAAACTATCTGCCAGTGAAAGTCCCGTCAAAATCGGTTCAGCCATTTCAGTGGTTAGCCGGAACAAACAGACAGACAGACAAAAATTTTAAAAACTGTGTTTTTGTTATAAATACCGTATATAATTTCATATGCGTTTAGTAAAAAGCAGTTATTTTTACACACAACATACACTTCAATTTTGTGTATGTTTAGATTTTAAAATTATTAACCCCCGGAGAAACGGTCTGCCCTTTTGTGAGAATTTTTTTCTATACATAATAAACACGTTAACACGCTGTAAAAATGAAAGATTAAATCATACACTTTTTTTGGACTTTTTGAAAATACAACTTGGGCTAGTCTGCCCCTGAGGTAGTAAACCCCTTAAGAAGTGTCTGTAATTTTTTTTCTTAATTCTTTATAAACTTAGGTGACGGATAGTCATTATTATTATTTGAATCAAACCCTTTTTTTTTTGGGCAAATTTTTTGCGACTTACCTGTATGCGCAGTACAAGGTGTACCCAGGTAGGCCAGGCAAACAGTTATATACCTGTTTGGACTGATACTTTTCAACAAATTTTCATGATGCATCAAGCACTTCATGAAAAATGCGTCATGAGCTCTCGGACCATTATTTTTACCTACTATTAGTTTATAAGCTAGTGCTTGATTACTATTTCACTTGGTGGTTAGTGGGGATGAAGACGAAATTGATAAAGTGCATTAGGTAAACTATATAAAGGTCTATTTAAGCCTTGAAGACACCCATCGTTTAAACGAATGGAAACACAGATGCTGGCACTCCACTCTATTGCTGTACGCAATACGAATGGCATAGGGAAATGTTTAGTTTAAATGGTTGAAGTTGGGATGGTATGTCTAGAGGAAAGGAGTGGAGACCCGCCGAGCAACTGTATGATGATGAATGAGGAATGAGAAATTATTACTTTTCTGATCACAGACTGTCTAGTGTAGATACATTAGCCAGAGCTTGGGCAATAGAGGGAATAACTAAGTTGCACAAACCAGTTAATATCATTTAGTTTTTTCGGATAGAGAATAGGCTTCGACTAAGCTACTGTTATTTACCATCAATTACTTACTTACCTTAATGCTTATTACCATTTACTATTAAGTAGAATCAAGTAGGAGGAAGGTAGGAGAAAGTAGTAGATATGGTTTATCTAACAATTCATAAAAAATCCGAGCTTAGTGGTCTCAAGCATCAGGTTAGGTAAATAAAAAAATAAAGCTTTGACTTTTCAGCTTGGGCACAATGATATCACTGAACAGTTGTCGCTTATTAAGCCATTAGTACTAGATTAAGTTCACTTTCTGTGACGCTGCATCTAGAAGAAAGAGTTTATCAGAAAGGTTTCCTATTCTTTTATAAAGCGATTTTTCTTCGAATCAATGAATTCGCAGGATATCCATTTAGTGATCTCTAATGCATGCGACGCAACAATCTTTGTATTTGTAGTGCTTTGTATCTACATAGATACTTTGTTCATATATGGATACAATGCATTCATCATCATCATCATTACAACCTTTCACAAGTCCACTGCTGAACATAGGCCTCCCGCAAGGAATGCCACAAAGCACGGTCCCGAGCCACATGCATCCATTGACTTCCTGCATGTCTTGCCAAGTCGTCACTCCATCTAGTGGTGGGACGCCCTACACTTCGCCTGCTGGTACGAGGGTGCCACTCGAGAACCTTTCTTCCCTATCGGTTGTCGGTTCTTCGAGCTATATGGCCGGCCCATTGCCACTTCAGCAAACTAATTCTTTGTGCTATGTCGGTTACTCTGGTTCTACTGCAGATATCCTCGTTTTTAAGTCTATCACGCAGAGAAACACTGAGCATAGTCCTCTCCACAGCTCGCTGAGCGACTTTAAGCTTCCTCATACGGCCAGCAGTGAAGGACCACGTCTCAGATCCTTAGGTCATCACTGACAACACGCACTAGTTGTACAATCTAGTTTTGAGGTTTTGAGGTATGTCTTACGAGAAGATGTGTAGTAATCTCCCGAACGCTGCCCAGCCGAGTTGAATCCGTCAATTGACCTCTCGGCCACAGTTGGACTTACCTAGTCGGACTATTTGTCCAGGTTCAACTTCGAGCTTAGTGCTACCAACAACTACCGGCATAGGTGTGACATGGACTTTAAACATAATTTTTGTTTTGTGCATGTTCATCTTAAGACCTATCCGTTTGGAGACACTATTGAGGTCATTGAGCATAGTGCTTAGGTCATCCAGCGATTCTGCCATAAGGACTATATCGTCGGCAAATCGAAAGTGAGTGATAGACTCGCCATTGACGTTAATAACGTATCATTTCCAGTCCAGTAACTTTAAAACGTCTTCCAATGCAGTGCAAAGCATTACATTTAAATAAATAAAACTGGCCAAGTGGTTAAT